TGCATAATACTGGTTTTCTCCGGTTAAAAATGGCCAAAATGTGCCTAAAATATCCGAAAAGTTTTAAACGATTATCAGAATTACTCCATGTGACTCTACATTCTCATGTTGCACAAAATCCGGGAATTATCCTTGTTCCAGTAGAACACTCTTTATTTTTCAAAATTTGTCCGTCCTTCTTAACTGTACTTTCGAAGGACTGAATAAGTTTTTGTTGAGCGTTTTTCTTAGCTGATATTCCCTCTGATCGGTCTTTAGTTCGTTCCTTACCGTGGTTTTTATCAATTTTTATCAGTTAAATGAAGAGTCAAAAGTAGTATTCTTCGTTATCGTTTGATTGTAGATGTGTAGTTTCCAGAAAGTGTAGAAAGTTTTTATTAAGCAAACCGCAGGATTAACAAAACTGCAAATGAAGTTGAATTATTTACGCCTCATGGTCACGTACAATTACTTCTCTCTCAAAGTAAACCGAAATACAGTTAAAAACTAATAATTTATACTATAATACGTACTTGTGCTTCCTTGTTCATTTTTCAAGAATCGTTTTGTAAATACAGCAACGAGGAATCGTTTCGTCGGGTATGACTTTAAAGCTGACTAAAATAGTATATCAATCACAGTCATAGAGAACTGAACTATTCAACACGAACAGGAGAAGAAGAGGAGAAACACGTGTATCGAATAAAAGTATGACTAACAGATGCGACTTCCTTTGGGCACGTAACGGTCATCATCATTGTTAAGTATCATCACAATATTTTTTGAAATTAATGCTAAACATATATGACTAAATACAGTTCCTTAGACCGATCGCAAATAAAGCATTTAAATAAAAAGTTATTTTTCAGGTCAAGTACGTATTTGAAACTTCTCAATTTGTAGGTGCTCTCTTCGTCTGTATTATGATATTTGAATCTTCCAAATGCACTACTTAGTCACGTAAAGTAGATCATCAATTTGCTGCACGAGGACAGACTTTACAATTCGAAGTTCTACAGATCGGAAAGCAGACATATGCAGTGGTGATCAGTTTTTTAACGATGCGGTCGCTTAGATGTTTTTTCAGGGAAAGCGAGTTTGTATTTACAGGGGTTAGCCGATCGTAATAATTCATTTCCGGGTGGCGGCTCAGCTAACATCTCTATTGGTACTCGCAAGTTCGGCCTTTGGAACGCTTTTGTAGAAACTTTTTGGTCGTTTCCTTGGAACATTTTACGTAATTATATTCTGATTGTTTTTATAGAAAAATTTAGGTTTCTTAATAAAATGTTAGTTGTCTTCTTTATTTTTTTTTTTTTATTACTTCTTTGGTGTTGTTTGGCTTGAGTCATTATTATTACAGGTCGGGGACCTTTGATGACTCTCACTTTTCGTGAATACTTAGTCTCTTGCCTAATAGAACCATATTATTGGTTACTGAGCTCATTTGTGATTGGAGAGTTAAAGTTAAATGATGTCCGAAACATCATTTAACTCTTTCTGGCTAATCAACTTCGTTTTAGCTCAGTTAACTTTTATAATGTGAACGTAGCCTTACCTTAGACTTCTAACATTTTACATTCTTATTTATCTTCGCAGCTTTTGTAAGGTGCCGGTAATTCAAAATTACAGCAAGATTTTTTTTTCGTCTTTTTTCGCATGGTTGGATAGAGCTCAACGAGTTGCATCGGAAAAACACAATTCTACATTTTAAGAAATCATTTTTTGGTGAAAAAATTTAAAAATACCCATTTTTCAAAAATAAGGAAATTTTTCATCCTTATTGTTTTCTAAAATTCCAAACCTATTTTTTTCTGATTCTCCATCGAAAACTGAGTTTAAAAAACTGAATTCCAAAATTTTAAAGTTGAAACTGACCGCCAAATCCACGGAACAGGAGCAGAATCATAAAAACTCTACTTCGAAATTTGTAAACGTATCTAGTTTTTTCTATTGAAAGAAAGACTAAGCATTAATTGTTATTTGCTCTAATCAGTATACTTGTTGGAAAAAAAGTACGCGACGTTTTTTTAGTAATATTTAGTCGTTTTCAAGAAAAGTTAATTTTTTCTAAATCAGAAGAAAAAGTCGGGATTCTTCCAGTAATTCTTAATTTTCTCGATCAGAACTCAACTTTCGAGAAATAAAAATAGCATACTTGAAATCAGGATCAAAAACTGTGTCGATTGATGTGCATTTCAAAATGTTTAGTTGATTTTCAGTTTTGCGTAAAAATCTCGGTAGTTTTTCAACGTGAAACTCGCACTCTAAAAGGCACTCATCAGACTTAGTATGATCTAGTGTAGCTAGGTTTACCGCTTTGTTCTGCGTTACTAAAGTTCTCTTTTCTAGTTGTTGTTTACAGTTTTACAGTACTTGTTCACATACTCATATTAGTAATACCAATGAAATATTAGTAATAATCAATGAAAGCTTCAGATGTACAAATGTTTCTTATTCAATGAAAAATCTCAGATAAAATATATAATGCGAAAAACTACAATAATGAAGTAATCTACACGGAGCGGATATACAGAAAAAATTATAAACATTAGTTTATGATCTACCGGCCAAGAAAAAAAAGTGCTTCCTTTCGTGATTCTTAGACGGTTTTTTTCGGCAATTTTTCCTTGCCTTAAATACACTGCGAAAGAATTGTAATCAATAATTATCCATTCAAAATAACTTTGAACAGTGGCTTTTGAAAATACACTTAGAGTACAGTAGTGATTTGAATAGATGCATGATTATTGAGCTTTACAGTATGTTGCGGATAAAATAGAGTATTTCCTGACATTCTGAAATAGGCTGGATGGATTTTGACTGAGTTATGAGCTTTTCAATTTTTGATGAAAATAATCAAAAATGGGTTATTTGAACTAGTATAGGTTTTCACTCAGTGGTTGCAGTTTTGTTCTCAAAACTAATATTGCCACGAGATTCAGCATAGTCGATAACCTATGTTTTCATTCAACAGCAGAAAAGTACGAAGGCTTCAGGGAAAACATCCATAGCTCTCGAAGCATAGGTTTTCAAGATGTCGCTTAGATCTAGTTTTGTAGAAGACACTTCAGACTATATATGCCCCCAAAAAAATCACTAGATTCCTATTTGAAGTTCAGAAAGACCAAGCTAGTTTTCCAAAGATCCTCTGGAAAATCGCCTTCGAAAATTTTTCGACTATATTAGACTTTCTCGCAGCATTCAAACGTTTAATAAAATATTTGTGCCGAAGTTCAATAGCACTGAAATTTTTTTCTTAGCAAAAGAGGTAAACACTTTAAGCAATGTGATTGAAACTAAAATATGATGCCTTATTCATTTCTAATATCAAGTACGTTTTAGATTATTACCAAGTATCATTTGCCTCGGTCTTTCTTTCCAGATTCCGGCGTTTGTCTTTTTCTAGTAGGAGCAATTCGTTTTTTAGATTGCAATAAAATTCTTTCTCGTCAACTCATTATGTAATGAGCAAAAATTTTGCTTTCTTCAGCTGGAAAAAGATACGTGAACAATTGTTTATCCACATTAGTAATGCTTGTACCCGAAGATTAAAAATTTCTATAGTGCTACCATTTTTTAGAGCATACAATATAACACGACTTTGATTAAGAGGTGTACTTATTTGCGATTCATCCTTTAAAGAAAATGGTGCTAAAATAGAGAAAGATTATTTCGATTGATTATCTACTTTGTTCAAAATATCATTCTTCTTTAGCACCTCTGCTTATCATAATTTGTGCGGTTTGAAAGCCCAATGTTTTTATACTAAACCTAAACGCACAATAAAATATAATCGTGTTACGACAAATAGAGACATGAGGATGGTTTGCTTCAATCGTTCAAATGAATAAAGTTTACAAATCTGTCAGAATGACAACTATAGCATCAGTAACCGTCTAATTTATCTCCAAAACGGATATTTTATATTTAATATTTCCAATATTAAATATGAATTCAAAATATGAATAGTCTTTATTTTACAAAAGGACGTTTGAGTTATACGTAAAGCTTGTCATAGTATTTTTTTGTATAGTTTCAAAACGGAATATATCTGCTTCCTAATTAGAAAAGTTTCCCAATATATGGCGTTTTCCGTACATTCTCTGTATTTAGGTCTTTGTAACCAGCACCAGTTTTCGATTATCTCACTTTTTTTTTACTTAACTCTTGGTACGTTTATATTATCTTCATTTTTCTCTAATAAACAAGGGACGAAAAAAATGTTTAAACATATAAATGAACAACAACGTGTAGCCAAATGTGAGCCATGAACAAACAAATAAACTCTCATGCACTAGAATAAATAGAAAAGGAGGCAACAAGAAAACGAGATAAACATACATACACAAGCAAGGGAAAACGACGGTAATTTACATCATTAAGACTATATAAAGATAAACGAAAGTGCTCGTTTCGATAAGCTATTCTTCAGTTAAAATCACAAATATTGAAAAAGTAAAGAAAATGTTTGAAAATAGAGAGAGAAAAAGAGAGTTAACATTATAATAAACAACGAGCACACGTAGGCTGTATTCATAATTTTTTAAATTCGTACAAAAAGATGGGTTTTTCTTCCGTTTTCACTTCCTGAAATACTTAGAATAATATGCAATGACTTTGGAATATTGAAATTTGCTACAAAAACGAAAAAAATGAGAAAAAAAGAAACATACAAAATAACGACACACAAGAAGGTTTACATGTTACAGAAAAAACCAAAATATTACAACATAATAGGAGACAGATTTTGATTTACAAGGTATAAAATAAAACGAAAATGAAAAACAAACAGAAAATTGAAAAAATTAGATGAAGAAAGTAAAAGCAAAGTGGAGTTCAAAAAAACGAAAAGCAGCGAGTAATTTGGTTTAAAAAATAAATACACTCAGATGCATATCAATTTTTTCATTCACTTGAGCTGTCAACAAGTTCACCTTCTTCACCATCATCATCCTGAGGTGGTTTATTTGTCTGGTTCAATTGTTGTTTTTTGACATCGTTAGATAATTTAGCCGTTTCATCCATTACAGAATCAGCGTTCTTTTTACTATTATTATTGATAGATTGTTTCAATTCACTATTTGTTTTCGATTGCACAGTTAATTTTTTAGATGGTTCAACAGAACATTTTTGCTCTACTTCAGTAGAACTTTGTTTCAATGATTTTATTTCTCCAACATCATCGTCTTCCTCTTCACCGTCTGATAACTGTTTCAGTTCAGCCAGTAATTTTTCTCGCATTAACGCAAGTTGCTCTAATTGACCTAAATGATAGAAACCGTATCTTACTACACTATAACTATATAGAGCAACTGATATTTTCATTCCATATCTTAAAAAAATATACTGCAGAACAATAAAGAAATTATTGTACAACCAGTTCATTTTAATCGTTCATTGATCAAAAATATATACTTCATTTTCTCAAAGAACCACAGTCTTCCGTTAACAGTCTTCCGTTAACTTAACTACTGTTAAAGCGTATCGTTAGAGAGTCAACTAAATACCAGAGAGACGAAAAGGTTTACTCATATATAAACTGTTCACACGAGTAGATAAAAGTTATCTATCATAAAAGAACGTACCAGTTTCGTCTGTTTTTGCTTCATTTTCTGTTGACACAGAATCTGACGACGATACGGATGATACTGATTTTGTTCTTGAACGACACAACGATTGTTTCTGTTTTTCTTTTTTAATAATTCGTTCTTTTTCATTATTAATTTTCTTCGATTTTTTCTTTTTATCTTTTTGTATTGTCTTCTTTTGTTTGACGCTATCTTCTGATAGCGTATTTTGTGATGTTGCTGAACTTTTATTAGAATTATCATTCGAAGTAGCAATAAGAGAAGACGTTGTTCCTGCTGCAATTCTAGCAGCTCGTTGTGCTCGTTTTATAGCCAAATGTTCTTCCGACTCGTATTTATATTTGTTATTATTTACATTTGTTGAATAATACGGTGATGATGTTGTAGTATCATAGATGTGTTCACGGAATGGCCTGTGTGCAGGCAATGGAGGACGAGTCATGAATGGCTGTGGTTGCCAATAGACACGAGGTGACGGAAGTATCGAATGATGTGGATGATGTTGTGGTGGGTGTCGAAGGTGATGAAACGTATGTGGTTGGGTAAATAATGATGATGAACGATTAGATGGATACCAGTTATCGCCAATTCGGTTTGTTGATGAGTGAGGTAGATGATGAGATAACGGTGGCATTGCTGGGTGTGGTAATAAAGGAGAAGTTATGGGAATTTTGGATGGTAAATGAGTAGATGCATCATAAAAATAGTCATTATCTTCTTCATTAGAGTTCTGTGATTCATTGTAATCATAATAGTCACTGTTATTACGTGCGGATTGTTTCCGTTCACTCTGAAGTTGATGTGTATCGTCTTGAATAGATTTACTAGGTTTTTTCTTTGAATGTCGTTTATTGGAATTGTGATGACGTTTGTGTGTTTTTCGATGCTTACTTTTTCTTGAACCACGAGAAGATTTTGACGATGCAGATGAATAAGATGTGACAGAAGAACTTGAGTATGTTCGCAAACGAGAATTTGATGATTGCTGAGTTGATGAGACAGACAATGGATTTACAGAATTTTTTAATTCGTCCATTAATGTCATTGATGTTGTTTTTAGCGGTTTATTATTAATATCTGTTGCTCTTGCTTTATTATGATTTGATAGTAATGAAGATGATTGGTTTTCTTTTAAATTATTAACATAATCGTTTTTTTTCTTGTTTCCACTTAGCAACGCATTGGGAGAAGATATCTTAGGATTTGTTAAAGACGAAGTATCTAAATAGAAAGAAACAAGCTATACTTTTCCAAGATCGGCACAAATTTTTCCTCTTCACTGTAATTTAGTTAAAATGTTCTTGTAAACAAACACTCTTTAAAAAACAATGAGAATTTAATCACAATATTTACCTGAGTTAGCCTTCTTTTCAGAATTTAGCTTTGTTACTGATGCGCGGTTGTCCTCTGCTTTATTCTTGACGTCTTTGTCATCAACCGTCATTTCTATTGACATATCGTTATCTGATAATGTTCTGTATCTTGGACTATCGATTTCCATTGGTACAGTTTCAAAATCATCAACACTCGTCGTTATACATACTTGCTGCTTTGTAGTCAAGTCGATTGTAGACGATGGTGACATATTTTCTTGTTTCATTAGTAGTTGAGTATAAGATAACGAATGTCCTCTTTTTGTCAATTTTGAAATAGCTTCATTTTTTACCTCTGTGGTTGGAGATTTTAACAATTCTTCATCAGCAGCACGCATATTTTGGCGAAAAAATCTTAACGCATGATTTGCCTGCTGATCATCATCTTGTTGTTCGTCATCTGACTCAGCTGCATCCCAAAGAGATAACGGTCGTGATGAAGGTTTTTGTTCGGCAACTACTACTGGTACTGTTGGTTCTGCAACGATTGTATTCGTTGTGACTGATAGTAGCTTTTGCGTTTTTGATGAGGAAAATGAAGGCTGAAAAACAGGATTATTTGATGAAAACGATGTATAGTTCAGTAATGCGTCTTCGGCTAACGGTTGATTTATTAGTGGAACTAATGTTTCATCTTTAATAAACGATGATTTTGGCGGAGAATACGGAGTGCCAAACGGAGACTAAATCATAAAATAATATAGATTGATCTATCTATAATTTACGATTTAAATGTTAACTTACTCTAGAGATAGGCGACTGAGCAACTGAATTTTCAATATTCGTTGAATTTGAACGTGAATAGAGATTTGATTGATCATGATCATACCGTCGATGAGGATGATTGTTTCGCGATATAAGTTGTGAACTATTAGTATTAAACTCGTTTGATCGACGGCTATTGATTGTGTCGCTCGATGGCGGTGATAAAGGACTCTGGGGAGGTGATGATCTTTTTTGGCTGTGAGATTGTCGATATTGAGAACGATATTTATCTTCATGTTCACTCTCTTTTGAATATTGGCGATGCTGAGAATGATAATTATTGTTGTGATATTGAGGATGACGGTTTTGGATAGGGCGTTTTGTTGATGAAGAAGATAGTGGTGACCGAGAATCAGAATTTGAGGATGAATGACGTGTACGTCGTCGAGAATGAGGTGAGGATAATGTAACTGCTATTGGCGGTGATGTTCTGTTTGGGGATCGCTGCCTTCTTCTCTCAGGTGAGAAATAATTAAGCGTTGTTGTCGTGGATGAATGATAATCATTGTCAAGTATAGAACGTGCCTCTACGTTGTCATTCATATTTGATCGAAAATGATTGTCATCGTCTTTATGTTGTTGTTCATCAGTTAATTTCTTTCTTCCTATTCGAAAATTTTTATCAATACGATCCAATGAATTATTTCCAATAACAGTGGCTAATACATCTTCTTTATCGATTGTCATATTTCGTTTTTCTCTCTCATCATCATCCAATCTTTTGTAATGAAAAATTGTCGTCTCATTTGATGGTTTTATTGGTTGTGATTTTTTAGGTATTTTACCAAGCATCGCTTGTGGCCTTTTTGTTGGAGTAGTATGTTCAACAGCAGTAACCTTGACAGGTGTCTTTTGATTCAAATTCTTATTTACATTATCGCTTGTTGTTTTCTTTGTCACTACAGGATTAGATGTATCAGATAACTTTTTAGTAGTATTTTCAATTGTTGGTTTTTGCGACGGCAATGAATTTGTAGGCTTTGTAATTGTTTTCTTCTCGATTAATGATCGGTTTGTATTGGTACTTTCACTGTTTAATGATTTTGACGATAATTGCGTTTTATTTGTTGTTGATGTGGTAATCTTTGGTACAAGAGGCTTTTTTTCATCAGAGATTTTTGTAGATGTTGCCGTTGGCACAGGTGACGCAGAAGAACTAAAAAATAAAATCGATATTAATTGGAAGTGTCTTGTTTAGTTAAAAGCTAAGTAACATACCTTAAAATTTTAGTGCCTAATGGTGGTTGTGGTGGCTTTGTTGATTTAATAGAACGATCAATTGGTTTCTTTTCATTCTTAGTTGTTTTAATTGGATTTTTAATTTCGACTTTAGTATTGTTGGGTTTGCTTTGATTGACTTTTGTCGTCAGTTGGTTTTTTATTTTACTCGGTTCTATTGATAGTTCGTTGGTTGTTTTTAACTGTGTCTTTGATTTCAATTTTACTTGTGGTTTTGGTAATATTGTTGCGGTCGTCTCTTTTTTCTCCACTTCAGCGTCGACAACTGTAGTGACTTTGATCGAAGCTAAGAAAAAATGATTACCATTTCTACATTAGTATAGTTTAACTTATACTTTGAGAAAAATTTCTAGACGTTAGTAGTTTACCTAAATTAGTATTTGCACTTATATCAGTTTTCTCTTCGATCACTGAATCAGTTTGTTGTAGTGGCGTGAAATCTTGATTTGATTTTGTTGAAAAACTTGTATCGATTATTAACTTATCATATTGTTGATTGTTTGATATTTCAATATGTAAAGATTTTTCTGATTGAATTATGGTTTGTTCTGTTTCTTGTGGATCGCTAGAAGAAAAGATTTATCGGTGTGTAAAAATACAGTAAGTAGAACTGTTTGAAACCCTATGTCTATAAATATTCCTTTTGACTACTGTAAAACAATGACAAATACACTGTAACTAATATAAGAATACAAAAATAAATCTTTTTTGAAACACTATTCATGTACCTGTGTTTAATTTGATCCAATATCACAGTTTGTTCATTAGATACTTCAGTATTACACCTAGTGATTGGAATATCTGATTGGTTTGCTAATGAGGTTAATTGTGTTTCCGATGATACGGAAAAATCAGAAACTAATTTTACTGTTTCCATAGAATGTTGCTCAATTAAATTGTTCACATTACTCATAGATTTCTGTCTATTTCGCGTACGTGGTTTATCTACTGTAACATTTGACGTTCTTAGAGTATTATATTCTTGGTCATTAATATTATTATTATTATTATTATTATTATTATTATTATGGCTAACATTTGCTACTTCCGATGTAATGGAAGCAACTCCTCCTCCCTGTTCCTCATGGAGACGCGATGAACGACGTCGTAAATAGTCATTGTTTGTTGTTGTCACAACTGCAGTAGTGGTTATTGCTGAGTTTGAATCATTTGAAGTAACGGAGACTGTAGAAACAGCTTTTAATGCTTCATGAGCGTCAACATAATCACTGGCTGTTTTTTTTATTCGGTTAGATTTACGTGAAACAACAGTTGTTGATGATTGACTATTTTTAAGATTTTTATTTTGATTATTGTTACTGTTATTAATCGGTTCAGATAGTGATGTGCATGTTGGTGATTGTTGTTGAGTCGATGATTCTGATGGTAGTGGCGTTTCCTGAATCATGATTATTGATGAATTACTTTCTTGAGTTGAAGAATATTCGCTGGAAGATTTATCATCATCTTCTATATTATCATCATCGATTATATCGTTCTTTGTTCTATACGATAAAGCATCTTTCATTTTAATTGTGTTTAATAAGTCTGAAGATTGATGATTATATAATAATAAATGTTCATCACTGTTTTTTGAATTTAAATCATTTAGTTTTTCATCGTTATTATCGTTATTATTCACTCTACTAACTTTATATTGACCATCGACCTTTTGAATTTTTGTTTTGATAAATGGTGCATTACGTGTTGGATCATCATTAGATGGAAGAATATGATGAGATTGTGCACTTTTTCGTTTTGCTGTACGTTGTGATGGTATCAGTTTTGGATCATCCATTAGTATTTATAAATTAGACTTTTTGTATAATGGTACTAAATTCAACAAATTAATAGATCAAACTTTAATTGTACAAATTTGTAGTCTATAAACATACCTGGAATCATAGTTTCTTTACGAGGTATGAAATACCACGATGATTGTTGTTACTTTTGCATGCAATATAAAATACGAACATAACGATTAGTCTTGAGAAATGACTAAGAGAAAACAAGCAAAAACTGAATAAAATCACGCTTTAATGCGCTTATCATATCGACAGACTATCTAAAAGAAAAAAAGAAATTAAACAAACTGAAATGTGAAAGCATTTTAGCCTTTTGATATATCTAATATTTAGACGGGAACAGAACATTTAAAATGCGATAATTTCGAACCGTAACGAATTTTATTTCGGCTCTTTTCTTGCGTTAAAATGCGTTCATAATACGTCAAGTATTATTTTAGGGCACTTTTATTATGTACGGATCGAGTGAAATATTAGCGACACAATGCCGTTTATCAGCATTTAAATTCCTACATAAAACATCATTAAAGGATTTAAGCGAAAAAAGAGTAAATGAATATGGAATAATTTTGTCTAATGGAAGCCAAATTTAAAATAATTAAATAAAAGTATACAATGGCAAATACAGTACACATTTGAAACAGTAAAAATAAATTTTAATTTTTTAAATAAAAGAAATTGAATTAAAATATATAATTATCTGACTAGGATTGAAGTTCATGTGAATTTTAAATAGACAACGGTTGCTTTTTGAAAGCACCTTCTATCATGTTCTGTGTTTGTGTCCACAATGCGTCTGTTAATTTTTCATCAAGTACAAGATAAGATGGACTACATTCATAACAATTATTAAAATAAATAACACTTGGATAATGTAGAACGCAATTCATTGTAGAACAGAATATAACTGTTGCAGCGGCTTGTTGCTACAAATAAACATAGTAGAGTACACATGTTTAGTCTTCTAGAAATAGAAGACATACTAATGATTTTGTGAACGGTCGGGCAAAAAAGAATAATAAACGATAAAAATAAGAATTTCGAGTTAAATCGGAACTGATGGCGTTTCCAGGATGACAAGCGACACTATAAATTTCTAAAAATAAAAATAAATAATGATTTTGAATTTTCAGTCTTAGTTAAGCAGTTCTTCTATTAAAAGGTTTGAAAAATAACTTTGCACTTTATAATATCTACTCTTTTGGCAACCAAAAATATCTAATGCATGAACTATTTTTTTGTCATCAAAGTTTTAATATGGTCAGATTGTAGAGAACTTGCTTTCACTCTGTAAGTATTTTATTTTGTCTTTCTGAAGTAACGGATCAAAAAAATAATGTCACATAGTCAACAGACACATGTACAATAAAATGTATTTTTCTCAAAGGTTATAAATTCGGTTATTATTTCAAATATATTAACTTGTAACTAAAGAATTTCTCTACAAAACTGTATATTTTATGAACTTTTCTGATGTATGTGTCAAACAATATGTTCGATTGAAAAAAACTGAGAATTTTTCTCTAACTTAGCAGACATCTAACGACGACAGCCAAAAACATTATATTTATGTTCGCCATAGTTTACTTTACTACTGACGATATGTTTCGCTAAAAGTTTCAAAGTGACACTTGGGGATGTTCTCTCATGAGTCTTGCTGTTTTGTATTAAAATACAATATTCTTGATACAATTTCATATACGACGAAAACATAAATTCAATGAAGTCAACGGCTCACATCTTTACTAATATAATAGTACACTCACGTGGATAGTTTCTTCTGAATTCGGCAATAAACATGATTAAACATAATTTTGATTGACCATATGCTAATAGATGATCGAAATAAGCTGGAGAACGTGGACTTAGACGATCAACTTTGATGCCATCAGTTACCGATATACCTGGACTTCTAAAATAAAAATAAAAATAATTTAATATTTTTTATGAAAAGTAGCTGAAGAATCTTACTCAACACGATGTGCTTCGCAACTGACAGCAACAACACGTGGAGGAGTTTTTGATTCTGTTGTTAATAAAACTGATATTAGACTCAATGTTAAATAAACTTGTGCTAAATAATTAACTTGAAACATTTCTTCATTGCCATCTTCAGTCAAATTAAATTTTGTTTTTAATACTCCCGCATTCAATATTAACAAATGTAGTGGTCTAGAATATTAAAACAAAATTTTAAGATTACATATGTAAAATGTCTTTATTTATTTATTCATCAACATACAAACGATCTTGACGATACTTTTCACCAAACTGCTTTACACTTCTCAATGAACATAAATCCAGTTCCCGGCAGCTAATATTAATATTTTTCTATAAAATATTTAAAAATATTTTTGTTTGGTACAAAAATGATTATTTCTACATACTTGTTCTTGTCGTATTTTTTTACAAGCAGCTTCTCCTTTAGATAAATGACGACATCCGATAATAACTTGACAACCATGCTTTGCCAATGAACGAGCAATTTCGTAACCTATAGCAAAAAAAGAATAATAAGTAAACACAATATGACTAGATAAAAAGTTAAGTAAGAGATTTACCAATGCCGGTAGTTCCTCCAGTTACTACAGCTGTTTTATGTGAGAGATCTTTTCCATATAAAATTTGTAACGCTGTCGATTGATGACTATAAGTAGCGGTCATATCTTGTGTTGTTGCATCCTGTTGAAACATAACTCTAGGATCAATCATACTGAATCGTTTGTTCAATTCACTAAAAATAAGAAACATCTTGTTAACATACGTAGTCTTAAATATTACACATACACGAAAGATTGTTTATCATCAATGATGACCATAATAAAGTATTGCCAAAAGAATTATAATTTTTATCAAATTTTAAAAATATATCAAATTACTCTATTGATGTATTTAATATAAATCAAAGTAATTTTAATGAGAACTAAACATCATATTTTTATTAAAATTCTGATTTATTAACTAGTTATTTTTACTAGCGCCAAATATAACTTTTATAATATTCAAAAGAATTATAATGTAGCAAAAGATTTATTCAAAAATGAACACTATAAAAAGATAATTAAACAATTTCTTAGCTAAAATCAAAATCAAAGAAAGATGGGTGAATTTATATTATGTTCTGTTATACAACATCACACTATATAAGAAGGAAAATAGAAAGCATACGAGATCAAAACAACTCATTCATACTAGTTCATACAGATTCATGTACTTACTCAATATAGCCAATATTTCCATCTTTTTCCACGACTTGTTTCCATCCATAAGGTAAATCTAAAAGCAAAAAAAGCTAAATAAAAAAATCAGAAATAAAATTGTATAATAATTAGAAAATTATCACAAGTACACGAATCAATTACAAAGATGCCAGTACAGACGATCAAATACAACGTTGAAAAGTTTTCGTATAGAATCCTGAACAATTAAATGTTGTTGGCGTCGAAAATTTTCTGTTTATCATTAAATTTTAGAAACGATACAACAAGGTTACAAATAATAAATAATATTCGTGCACCTTTCGGTATATATGTGACTGTTTGTGTTAACGGATGTTCCCATTGTGTTTTTTTATGTTGATGACTTTAAAAAACAAAAACAAAGACAATGGATAACTTTTCAACTAATGAAACGTATTAAAGCATACTCTATATAAAAAACTTCACCACTATTAGTCGCACATTTTTCCCAGGATGTTGGTAGTTCATCGTCAGACTCGTCTGACTCTGCGCTTGCCATTGTTAGTAGGAATAAAAAGTCTGAAAAAAAAATAATAAAAAAATGTGAAAAGTACTGAGTTTTTAAAAAAAGCAAAGTCGTTGTAGTAAAAATATTCAAAATTAATCAACTATGTATAAATTGTAGTATAAAGTTTCTGTTTCTTTTTTAATAAAAGATGACAGTTAACACTATAAGTTGGCTTTAAACCTGACAAACTTAAGATTGCGATCTGAAATAGGAGAACAATCGCTTACTAATATAAAACTAATTAAGTGTTAATTTCAATAAATACGACGTACTAAGCCTGACAAATAGGAAAGAGAATGGAAATGAAAGTACTGCTTAATACAAATTTTTCCTTTCAAATCTTTTTAGATTATTATAAGTGCAAGGAATAGACGAGGTTAAAGTTATTGATCTTAAAAACTAGAACACTATTCAACATACGGAGAAAATACAAATGTTTTAAATTTTTATTAGAAAAAGTTTTTATTTCGTGCATACAAAAAACGATAATAGAGTTGTCCTCTTTTAGCACAGTGAAATAATTCTCGTCGAGAAAAAGAAGATGAAAGTAGTTACGGAGACAAAGAAGAATAAGAATACCAAATCGGCATGTGGTTCGTTAACAAAAGTTCAAGCAGTTTTATATAATTCTTAACAGTTTGAGCAATAAAAAAGTACCGAAGTAAAATTTTGTTCTTCAATCCAGTTAAAATGAGTGTATTGATATTGATAGGATACTAAATTCTAACTATCATTATCAACTAGAACACCTGATGACTTAGAATTTTTCACATTTTTGTTCATACTGTTTTGGGTCTGACTTGCGTTTGAACTATCATCTTTTATTTGCTCTTTTGTCGATTCTGATGTTGATGTAGATTTTGTTGTATCTCCACTAGGACCAGTCAATTGCTGTTGGTTTCTTTCACTTGCAAAATGAATATCATATTTTTCTTTGTACGTTTGTATCTCCTTCGATTTTTCTTCGCTTTTTTGTTTATATGTATCAATAACATTTTTAATTTGTTCTCGATTTGATTCTAGAGCTGGTAATACTTCTCCAACTGTATGTTCAATTAACACACCACCAATCATACGATAACAGCGTCGTTGTTTATCAGTAATTGTTCTCAATGTTGACAAAACAAGATCGTGTTCTTTTAAATCCATTTCAAGATCTTGTGTTTTACTAACCAATTGAGTTTGTTCTTCACGTAATGATTGAAAACCAGATACTATTTGTTGCTGTTGATCGTTTGTTAATGCAGCGACATTTCCTTTTGCTTTCGATTTTGTAGCCATTTTACTCTACCCACAAACTTGTTTTGTCTGAAACAGACAATAAAATCCGACTGATAGGATAACTGCAAATAAAAATGTCAATGTAATATTCGTAAAAAGACTTAGTTTTCAAACTCATCTATTATTTAAATCAAAGTTATTTATTTCCTACCTGACTAGTAGAAGTATTGTACTCAGGAACGAATCTCTAGTTGGTTGTCCGTTCTTCGTTTCTCCTCCGTACTCTAGTTTCTTTCTGTCTCACTAAAGTCAGAGCAGTTACATCGAAATGAACCAGCACAGGAACACATGACCTGTTCGGAAATATTTAGCTTTCTTTCCCAAAATGGACTGCTCAATGGAATTCATCTAGGGAAGATGAATTCGAGAAAAAAAAGGGTCAAACCACCACTAATTTAAGTGGGAACAAGGTCTCGATCCCAGCATACCATATAGTAAGAGTAAAATATAAAGTTCCTAATTTTTTTGCGAACACAAACATGAAGTTCGAAGAATAATCAAAAAACCTTCTCCTACTAGAGAGAACGCTTGAAAAATAACGCCAAACCCAAAAAAACCAAAATCCGAATAAACAAATTCTGAGCAATGAAAAAGTGTAAATATTTATATCAAAATAAAAAAGGTCACAGTTCACTGATAATTCTTCATACGAATATTGATGATCTCAATCAAAATTTATTTTACGAAGTTTTTGCTGTTTTAAGCGTAAAGGGTACTTATCTAAAGATATTGTGTAATTTTCAAGCGATTTAGATCGATTCTGAGTGGAAATATACGCGTTTTATTTTTTCAGTGATATATATTCTACAATCGCTTGTTCACTTTTTTTTAGAGACAAACGTTTTTTCGTACGTAAACGTTGTTCGTACAAACGAGAATTTATAGCGGATTTCCACTGAATTAAATAAATTTCTGCTACAGCAATTCCGATAAAATTTCATCCACAACAGACATTTACGATTTTGTTTTGTCAAGACACATTGTATATAAGAAATACTGATTTTTCGAAAGATTTTGTCACATTAGCGATTCATTACTAAAAGGTCGATTTATGATAGATTTAATGATCACCTGAAGAAAACTATGAAATATTCAAACCCTCAAATTCACAATTTCAGAAAAATCCGGCAAGAATCCCATTTCATCCTGCGATTCTTAACTAGGATCGCAAGAGCTTGTGGAGAACAGTCGGATGGTTCGCATCCATTATTGTGTTTTTGGCTATACAATTCCAAAGAACGCAGTTCTCTATCTCTTTTCTATCAAAAATTATTCAGGAAAACATCCCTGGTCAGCATATTTTAAAATGTATGGTACATTGACTTCTAACTAATCGTTTTTAGAAACGCTCCTCAGACTAGATACGATGAGCTAAATGATGAAAGTTTCTCTTGTTTGACCACAACTACTGAGGCCCCTTTCATAATGAAACCGGTTATGAATTATGAAAAATACGGGTATACAGCATAAAAGTTCGCTTTCTCTCTGTTTGCGATTGATAAGAAAGAAGCTAACCGTAGGGAAAAGTTGGGGAAGAAGGTTCAATCCAAACTAATAATATCGTCCCGATTTCGTTAATGAATAAAGAAACCAACACCCAGCAGTGGTGAGTTTCACCGAGTTTCCCTCAGTCCATGTTTTACCTCAAGGATCTTGATTGAAAGAAAATAAATCATCGTAACCTTCTTTTAGCCTCTATCGGAGACAAACCTTGTTGTAATATAGAATCGTAAATTACATCTTTTCTTAAGCGCATATTTAGCACTACACCTTTAATTATTATTTTCAATGGTGTGTCACTTACTCGATTTCGTAATCGATCCCTTATTCATTATATGAATGTGTGCTAAGCAGTTCTTGAAATAAACTAGCCACCAGGGTTGAGAGCAAAACCCAGCAGTAAAATGCTTAGTCCTCGCCGCTAGTTTTATAATTAGAAGCCAGAGCACTGTCACGCTTCTGCCAAAAATGATATCATGGGTTTCTTTTTTCTGCTGCACTTTTTTCTCTGGCTCAATCAATACAGTTAAAAAAAGAAAAAAAATATTTGACTGTTATTGCAAGCATATGATATTCTTTGCAGTTTAGGTCAAGATGAGATGAAATAAGCTAAGAGCAGGAGCGCTAGGAGTCCCTGCAAACAGCGTCCTTTATTAGTGTTTTGCTTCCAGCATCCGTTCTAGCTTACCTTACTTGTCAAGATGAGCTGCATTGAAAAACATATCGCTACTATCAACATCACTAATATGACCGTTAAGAACCACTCGAATATAAAACTATAATTAATAATTTATACTACGGAATAGTATATTACCACTTTCTGGAAGTGGCAAGACCAGTTATTGCAACTCCCAGAGAGTGTCAGCAAGAGCTACTGCCACTTTCTTGTAAAGAAGCTGACATTGAACTATAGAAGATATTTAAAAACGACTTTGAGCCAAATTTTGGCGCAACTTGTTAAATTTTATTGCTTTAAAATAAATACAAAAATGGAGCGCTACAATACACGATCGAGTGGTTATAATATATAACGATTTCATGTAAGTATCATCACGAAAAAATACTTTTTTACACAGTTCGAAATCAGAAAGAAATCACGGAAGTTTTCTGAGAAAACTTATATATACAATAAAGCCAACAGATAACATTAGTACTATTAATGTTTAGTTAATTTAACAGAATAAAACATAAACAAGTAGTGCAAATGTGTGCCCAAAGTGTTCGAATATGCCAAATAAAATAATAAATAACCAAGCTATTGACCACAGGAATATCACCCGTGGTTGTCGTGATATTGTACACCGTGACATATTATGCCGTGACTAAGTATAGAAATCAAAAGGGCAATATAAATATGAATGAATCAATTATACCATAAAATAAATTTTTCATATGGGTTCAATTTGTAACCAGTAATAAAACCAGGATAAAAAATAATACAAAACAAGCAACAGGCATTACCTCAAAATCGACTTTTTATACGGAGGTTTCCAAGGCTTGACTTAATGTTTTTCGGGATCAGAATCCTTCAAAACGTTGGGCAGCAAAAGGGCGTCTTATTCAAATGAGGAATAAAAAAGTGAAATTTTTCCCTATGTATTTTTGCATTGCCTAAAGCCGAGATGCCGCAACATCATGATGGAACAAATTACGTGGGAAAATTTCACTTTTTTATTCCTCATGAAGCTTATACGATCAGCAGACCATTCTCGCAGATTCTCCTGGTTTGATTACCATCACATTCTCTACCCATACATACTTCACCATTTTCTATTTCTCATACATACTTCTTGTTTATCATTACACTTACTTTTCAAAATACTGCTTTTTCATATCGTTGTCGTTGTTTTATATTTTCTTCATCTAATTGACATTTTCGATATCGATACAAAATATTCCATATGGGTCTTTCACCAAATACAGAATCCTGAACCAGCATTGTAAAGAGAAAAGTTTTCTCTTTTTGAGAAGAATTTTGAGATCTCGCCTAAAGATTTTGCTGGAAAATTTTGATTTGGTTGGTTAAACATATGTCAAAATTTTTTTGTTCTGTATTATGTGTTTAGTTTATTTTTTATTATTTGTTTCTTTATTATTGGTTGTTATATTTTAAAATACAATATCAAATTAACACATTTTCTTATTTTTGAAAATTTTGATACAAAAGATCGATTTGAGTCGAGTCTATAAGACAGTTTGGTCAGGAAAAAAAGCAAGTGATTTGAACTGTTCTAGAGAAAAAATGTGTAGAGACAAGTTTATTTCCTTTCTGTTCGTTACAAGGACACAAAGTAAAACGTAATGATGATCGATAAACTTCAGACTGGAATCCATAGTTGTATAAAAATGTCAAAAGCTAGATGATTTGGCTTAGTTTTTGTCCTATATGGGAGAGAAAAAGCAGTTGCAAGTGTCAGCATTGCAAGCATGGATTTGGCAAGTTTCTTTAGCTACTGCTGTTCAACCTACTGTTGTTTGAACAGATCAATTTATCATATCCAGATGTCAGCTTCTTTACAAGAAAGTAGCAGCAGCCCTTGCTGACACTTTCTGGAAGTACCAATTGGCACTCTCGGGGAGTGGCAATAGCTACTGCTGCCACTTCCAGAAAGTGGCAATAGAACTATATACTCTTTATACTATTTTCTTAAATTACATCAGATGAAAGCGGAATCAAACTGCACATGAATCGTTTTCGATGATGAAAGTACATATCTCCTTATATCACATTCACGTGAGAGCGTCGCCGTCATGGAACGGTATGCGGTGATGGTATTTCGTGGACCAATCAGAGATGTATGTGATCTTAGAGCAAGAGACGCGACACATTAAAAATAAAAAGAAGCTTTTTAAGTTCTTCGATCATTGATTAGAAAATTTAATTTAATTATTATCCTTTATTGAGCAAGATGCCAGCAGATGAATTTGACAAATCTTTCACAGATCTAATATCTAAATTAGGTACTAATGCTGACAATTATTAATATTGATTTATAAACTATTGAGTATGAGGTTTACATTCATTGTTTGAATGCAAGAATTTATAGCTCACTGAACTTATAGTTGTATCGTTATTATACTTACACTGAAATTTTTGGAGAATTGTCGATAAATTAATATTCATCGAAATCGGTAGCAAAAGAGATGACGTGTGTACTTTTTGGATAGATATTTACGCCGGTACTCCTCGGTGTCGTCGTATGAGAAACTTGCCCCTCATCCAAATAACGTCGTCAATCTATTCTATCACTTCTGCTGCCTTTTATTGAAATTTAAATTCATCTTTTACAAAACTTTCTTTTTTGCCAGGGCATCAAGTGGAAGAAATCCGTATTCGAGCATTGGACAATTTAGTAGCAAAATTTGATTTACATCTCTTGAATGATGTTGATGTTGTACAATATAAATTTTTGTACATTAAATTACTTGAATGGTTCAACTTTTCATCGCCATCAAAACGTGATGTTGTACTTGATATTTTACTGAAATTATCCAAAGTATTTTCTTATTTACATAACTCTCTACAGTAAATTCTAAAATTTTGGCTTACTTTCTAGCACGAATCGGCCGCAATCAATTTACATTCTATTGGTGCAATCGACTTTTTGAATGCATTACGCCCTGATTTAACACCAGACTTAGAACGTAAAATTGATCAGATATTAGATAATATTCTCTCACAACATTCCATCCAATCTCCTCCCTACTCTCATTCAAGTAAAAACTGTTACTTTTAGTTATACAAAAATGAAATATCTTTTGAGTTTATCTCTTAGATTCTTATACATTACGTTCTGATAACCAATCACACATATCATCTAATAGTAATCAAGATTTATTTCAACTACCAACATTAAATATTAGTCAACAAAATACAAATACATTGACAACACAACAAAATCTAATGGGTGATACTTTATTGTCCGGATTACAAAATTTATCTAGTATAAATCATTCAAAACACACAAATATGGATTCAATCACAAAACACAGTCATCTTCAACATCATCTTTCACTTTCAAATCTAAGTGCTAGTCAACAACAACATCAAAGAAGAAAACCAATGCAACAGACACCGTTATCAACAGCAAGATTAATTTCCTCTTCGGATGGTGGTACGTGAAACTGAAAACAGTATTACACGTGTTGTTGTCGTTTTTTCTTTAGAGCCTTACATAATTCCTCAATATAATTTATTTCGATGGGTACAATTGCGTTCATCAGATAGAACCGTCTTATCCACATTAGAAAAGTCCGTGAATTTAGATTAATAATATGTTTCTATTATTATTTAGTCATTTTTCTTTTTTATGTAGTTCATTGACACCTCGAAATGATGTTTATTCTACGGTTATTAGTCATTGTAATTTTCTATCAAATGTTGTTTTAAACGATTTTCCATCTGAAATTTTTCTACAACGACCGTTAGTTGTAAAAGTAAGAAATTGTTGTTAGATTTATTCTTATTCTCATTGTTTATTTATTTTAAAAGCGTTTATTAGCATTACTAAATGAGAACAATAGCGACGTTATTACGGCGGCCCTATCATGTTTGAAAGAATTGTGTTTTCATTTACATAAACGAATTAAAATGTTACGTGATCCATTTACATTTTGTCTCAACAACTTCAGTAAATATCTTCTTTTGTAAACTATTTAAAAATTGTAGACAAATTGGAGCTTTTAATAAAAATATCAAAAAGTCTGAACATATACGCTTCTAAATTTTCTTAATAAAAACAAACAAACATTTGTTCCCTCATGTAGCTAATTCGAAGATATCAGCTGATCAAATTAACAATGGAAAGGAAGATTTGAATTTGACGATTGCAAGTGCACGTTCTGTCTCATCGATCAATTCAACAACGTCAAATGGATACCCACGACTAGTAAGAGAAGGGTAAGAATTTTTTTATTTAACTTCGAGATTACTTAAAAAAGAATAATATTTTTTACTTACTGATCAGATTCATCTAAATTTTGTTCATTTTTTATTTTTAATGTTTTAGGCAACGAAATAGTAATTATTCAAATATTAGTACACAAGATGAACGTAACGAATCATTAGAAGAACAACAACAGACACAATATGATATTATAGAATTTTGTTATTCAATATTAATCAATACATTCGATTTATTACGTCGTTTAACGAATAAAGATCATTTATGCTATTGTTTACAGTTGAACAATTTTGCATGTCAAATAATTACTATTCATATTCAACATAATTACGGCACAATTAGTGTAAGTTTAATTAGTTAAATTTATTTAAGAGACGTTTTAAAACAGTCAGGACATTTTCTAAACTTTTTAGTATGCTTTTTTCTTCTGACGAGGGAACCGCCCCAGGTGTCCGGCTCCGATTTCGTTCGTTCATACATCATTCGATAGAGGACCTCGAGTAGGCAAAAAGGCTAAAAGGATTTGGGCGGAGGGCCCTTTAAGACCCG